ATTTCTATTTTTCTTTAAATTTGGCTTAATTTCCTCGTAGATTACCTAGCCCTAGTTTGTATTATGACCTTCTCTTTTATCTCTTTCATTGCTGGTTTATTCTTTATTCTTTATTATACTTAATATTTGCAATCATAGACACATTTTATGCTTATTTCATTTCTTTCTACTTATTGAATAAAGTGTACACTAAGTGATTGAAGAGACCTATCTATTTTCTTTATTTTTTCCTACCTAATGTCTAGGACACTTCTGATGCAGAGTAGATTTTAATAAATAATTGCTAATGAATGAATTTAAAAAGAAGACCATGTTTGTTAACAAAGATGTTCGCTGAAGAGTTCAGTAACATTGCAAGGTAGGATACAAGTTTTTAAGTCATCTATTTCAAATATAGGCATATCATTGATGCTAATGACTTTTAAAACAGGAAAAAGAAGATATGCTGTTAAAGACAATTTTATTGCCTTGAAATTGTGTCTGAAAAATTGTCCAACTTTCCTTCCTAATATGACCTCAAAATCTTGCATATTGTGAAAACTATTTTAGCCTTTTCATTTTACCTACTCATTGAATCAAGTCATTTTTATCAACCACGTCAGTTCAAGTCTCCTACACTTTTATCCTCAGATGAATCAAGAAACGCCTTCCAGGAGTGTCAAATGCTTAAAAAATGATAATCAGACCACAGCTGACCACATTTCACAATTAATGGAAAATTTTTATAGATACCAGCATTGTTTTAAACCTCTAATTTATGCAGGATAGGCTTCCAGATATTTTTAGGCATTTTAAAAATTTGTTTTCAACAATGACCCAGCTTTTTATAAAAGTTTTTCGCCTGTTTATTTTAGCTGAAGAGATTGTGGCTCTGAGATTTTGATTTAATGAAATTCACACAGAGAGGAATTCAAAAGCTGGAGTTCAAACCTAATCTCTGATACTCCGGGATAGTATTATCTTGAGTACATTTTAGTTTTTAAATTCAGGGCTACATATGTTTTCACAAACCTATCTTAGTATAGAAAATCCTATCATCTGATCAGGGCAAGAACTGTTTCTGTTTGAGGTGCAAAACTATATCTATCTGCCTTTTCCAAAACCTTACAAATACAGATATGGGTTTGGGGTTGTAGTACAACAAAGTAGTAGTTGACATATTTTATTAATTGAAAGAAATAGAAGCTCATATTCTCCTAGTGTGATATTAGGCAGCCCAATATGAAGACTTCTTTTGCACTAAAAAGATGAGGCGCAATTAGGTGGCTTTAATAGGCATCTTATTCTTTCAGGATATTGTACATAGATGTCACATAGAAGAGTCTCAAAGATAATCTGTACTTTAAGGGTTTTTGACAGTCTTAATAAAATGAAATGAAAAATAAAATAAAGATACATAAATCTCAATGGGGGAGGTGAAGATTTATGGTCAGCATAATGATTTTCACATATTCCTGAAATGACTAATGTAGTTTTTGGAGGATTAAAAGCTCAACTCTGGGGCTCTTTAAACAGTGGCTCTCAACTGCAGCAATGTCGCCTCCAAGAGACGTTTGGCAATGTCTGGGGTCACCTTTGGTTGTTGCAACCTGGGGGCATGGGTGTGTCACTGACTTCCACTGGTTAGAGGTCCAAGGTGCTACTAACCATTCTTTAATGCACAGGATAGCCCTTACCCAAAAGAATGATCCAGCACAAAATGTCAGTGGTGCCAAGGATACAAAAAGCCCTAGTCAAAATGTAACTATCAAATAATAAATGATTAAGCTCCATGGTTACACAAATTACCTTGAGCTCAACTACACAGCACCTAGGGGCAATCTGATACCAGAGAAGCTCCTGAGAAAGGAAACAGTGAAAAACTTTGAGAAAATTGAAAGACAATGAAGTCTTTGAGAGATGTTAAAAGACCGATTAATAAAAAATGAAAATGTGCAAAAACTAATGCAAAGGATGTAAACCTCACCAAAAGGCAAGTTCAAATACTTTTAAAAAAAATTCTAGTAAGTCTTGTTGTTATTGTTTTGTTGTGTTCTGTTTTGTTTTGTTTCTATTGGACATTGGTCATTTGTGAGAAGTTTACAGGAAAACATTGTAAGCAATGGAACACTAAAAATTTATAAGGGACG